CTCTCCTGATGGTACTACATTAGCATCTGGTAGTTGGGATAACTCTATCCGTTTATGGGATGTTAAGACAGGATAATAAAAAGCCAAATTAGATGGTCATTCAGATTATGTTATGTCAATTTGTTACTCTCCTGAAGGTACTACATTAACATCTGGTAATCATGCCAACTCAATCTGTTTATGGGATGCAAAATCTGGAAAACAAATCTTATCCTCAGATAATCGTTACAAAAATCTATTAGCTTAATTTAAACCTTCAATACTTAACAATAATGTTCTTATAGAAAATGGTATTGATATTTCACTTTTATTTTAGTTACTTCTATTGTCACTATTCTTCTAATATCACAATAGCTAATATTTTAATCATAAGGTGCTCTAATTTTGAAAGGAGAATTTATTAATCAGTCGGGAGTTGATTTGAGGATGTTATTTTAATAAAGAGGTAGCTGCATTTTAGAAAACTAAATTGGATAGCAAAAACAATAAATTTGATTATTATAAACAAACATGCGTTTACACATTAATATTTTTTCGGAAATTGGTTATCTTAAGTTTGTACTTGTCTCTCTCACTTTTTTGTATGGCACTCCTTAAAATAAGAAAATGAAAATATGGAGTTTCTTCAAATGCATTTTATTGTATTGATGCTTATGATAGTAAGAGGAAAAAATTGTATATATTTTTAAAGGAGAGACTGTTGTAGGAGGGTCTAACTTATGGGTGTTGATAGAGAATGATGAAACACACCCAACACATTCCAACCTTTCAGAAGCAGGTTTCCATTGATTTTATAAGCCACAAATTAGATTCGTACTGGTTTCAATTATGGGGTCCTTTTCTTAAGCCATAATTAGAGTAGTGAGGCAAGTCGCCATTGGTAGTCACATGCTAACGCCTTATACCTCTTTTTTCTGCTAGGATGTACCTCAATTAAAGTCATACAATTTTACTTATCTAACTGTATTATTTAACATATGCAGCTCATCCCTAATTTTTACCCATTTTCCCTTTGCTCAACTACAGTAAAAACTTTTAATAGAAAATCATTTTTTTCAACATCATTATTTTAAATATTCATTTTTACAAATATTCTCAGAGACCAAGAGGAAGTTAACAACTGTCAAAGAGAATCAGAGCAACAGCTACAAGTAATAAATTCAGAAATCTTATATGAAAATTGATGATGCAATTGCTTCTTTTGAAGAACTGCTTAATCCTTTGAAATAAACACAAAGGATCCAACTACACCTTCCTAAGCACCTAAAACTAACCCTTTCAAGAAAAACTTTTTTATGAAATGAATTAGTTTCAATAATAACAGAAATTAGATTAAAAAGTAAAAGAGGAAGAGTGGATAGAAAAAGAAAATAGATTAGCTAAAGAATTAGACATAAGAAGATAGAGTGTAGAAGAAGTTGTATTTAAACTCAAGATTTCTATGAGTATGAAGCCAATACTAAGAACAAAATTGAAGGAGAGAGATTCCTTTCCAGACTTTACAAAATTTGATTGAGAGTGATCCAAAACTTTTCTCATTGAGAAATACAAAAGTATTGCATTCAATAAGTTGAAAACAGATAGTTAAAATAAAAACCTAAAGAAAATTATCATCGAAATTGGGATTCAAAGTAGTGGGTGAAAAAAATTATAATACGAAATTAGGAATAAGTATATTAATTGAAATATAATTCGAGATTGACTTCATGATCATCATTTACAAGATATTGCAATTGCTCATTTAGGTATCACTCTATCAAATAATTCATATTTTATTGGCTGGAATAAAGGTGCTAAACTTATTTCAATCTAAATAAAAATAAACATATTAAAGTAATTGTAAAAATTATTAAATGTTAATAATGAGTAGCAATAGTAAATAGAACTCTTCAAAACCAGAAGATGAATACGATATAGCTGTTATAGAAAGAAGGGTAATATGGAGCGGAGTAAAACCATGCAAATTTCTGAGGTGCTGCACTCCATAAATAAGATTTGGATGTGTGTAAATATTATGCTTCCTCTTAATTGAACTTATTACATTTAACAAATTCAGAAATTTAAGATCCACACTCGTTAGTAGTTTAGCAATCAGCAAATTCCAGATTTGAAATATCAATAATTAATTCAAAATAATAAATTTCCAGAATTAATTTTCAAAAAGCATTACCGCCAAATAAAGAAAAAAATTACGATTCAATGAGTGATATTATTCTATCGTCGAGCAACAAATGCTGGCTAGTAGTTATTTATAATTAGATGTATTCTATCCGTTTATGGGATGTTAAGACAGGATAATAAAAAGCCAAATTAGATGGTCATTCATATGCAGTTAATTCAATTTGTTACTCTCCTGATGGTACTACATTAGCATCTGGTAGTGCAGATAGTTCCATCCGTTTATGGGATGTTAAGACAGGATAATAAAAAGCCAAATTAGATGGTCATTCATCAATGGTTAATTCAATTTGTTACTCTCCTGATGGTACTACATTAGCATCTGGTAGTGCAGATAGTTCCATCCGTTTATGGGATGTTAAGACAGGATAATAATAAGCCAAATTAAATGGTCATTCATCAACAGTTAATTCAATTTATTACTCTTCTGATGGTACTACATTAGCATCTGGTAGTGATGATAACCATATTCGTTTATGGGATGTTAAGACAGGATAATAAATCTTATCTTCAGATAATTGTTATCAAGATATTGTAGCTTAATTTTCATCTCAAAACTTTAACAACAACTTAATTTAAGAAAGTGGTATTTATTTTCTTTTTTATATAGTAAATTCTCCTGTTAATTACCTTGTCATATCAAATTAGCTTGAATTTCGATCTTAAGGAGCGTTAATTTTGAAAGGAGAATTTATTAATCAGTCTGGCATAGACTTGAGAACATTATTTAAACAAAGAGGAAGCTTCATTTTAATGAACCAAATTGGATTATAAATACGATGAAAATTGATTAATATTTATAATCATTTAATACATATATTTATTTTAATTTGTAATAACTTCTTACCAGGGTCCATTCGCCACGAAATTCTCAAGTGTTCCTAAACTGGAAGGGGACCCCAGCTACTGCCATACAAGGGAACTCTGAAAACTCTTCAAACATGGCCAGAAGGGATATGAAGCCTAGGGAACTTGAGACAATGAATGAGAAGAAGGACGACCTCCTTATTTTCTGTTCTGATCCTATTGCTGATTCGGGGCTTTAACTTAGTAGCTTGTAGAGATCTTTGTTATATATTATCTCTAGTGCTATCTATGCCTCCGGAACAAATACTAATTCCAGAACTATCTACTAAAATCATCGATTAATAACATAAATCTCGATGACGCACTAAGGAGTATCACTTTACAATTACAAATTAATAAAAAATATATAGTGCAGTTCCTAAAGAACTCCACTGGGATCTAGAGTTAGGCACCCTCTAAACCACCCAGCATTATTAACCCCAGGTGTCTTGATATAAACTACAATCTGATTTTGATAATTAGTTGTGTTAAATAAATAATAATAATAATTTAATACATTAACATATTTCAGAATCAACTCTTCAAAAATGTGAAACAAACAAATTCAAAGAACGAATTAATACATATTTACGATGCTAAATTGAATAGAAATATTTAATCAAACCCTCAAATAAAAATTATTAGTCAGCTTTCAGAAATCATCGATTTACTTATGGTCATACCTGCATAGTTTTTTGACTCACAAATTCATGGGTGATGCCTGCGTTTTTTGACTCACAAATTCGGGGGTGGTAACTACATAGTTTTTTGACTCACAAATCCGGGGGTGGTACCTACAAAGTTTTTTGACTCACAAATCCGGAGAATAAAAAGCCAAATTAAATGGTCATTCATCAACAGTTAATTCAATTTATTACTCTCCTGATGGTACTACATTAGCATCTGGTAGTTATGATAA